GATCTGAACAACAACGAACCAAAAAAGTTCATGATGTTGTTGTTCAAAACCTTTCAAAATGCCAATCCCAAATGATCAATTCCTTGTGAACTGGAGCAACAATATGTCCGGCCTGATTCAATAGACAGGGCCAAGGAGTGGCGCACCATAATTGAATTGGAAAGGTCTTGCATGGGGAATAAAGTGTGGTGGTGATTGTTAGTCCTGTAGCACCTGATCCATAAACACAGGCTGACATTTCAAAAGCAACAACAAATTGTAAGCACTGCTGGACCTGATTCACCAAAAAGCCTTGAAATGTGACTGAAGCATAGGCATAACCGAGTTCCTTAGACAGTTGGGCTTTTTCTCGTTTTTTTTTCAGTGGGAGGAATCTTAAATAAAAAACCAAGAATCTCCAGTCTGTAAGATAAACACTCACATGCGCAATCCATGATGCTTTGTTTAGATATTGGTGTCTAGGAATAAAAGTAAAATTGGAACTGGACAACTTTATTGTTTATGAAAAGCATTGTGCTAGACTCTTCAATGTTACAAGAAACATTTGATCAACTGTATAACAACATATGATAGATGTCAACCTTGAAGCCAAAACCCTTGATGCAAACCTGTAGTGTATATTGTGAATTGCCAATTGTCGTCTTGGCCTCACTTTTTCTATTTTTCCGATAACAAATCAATGTTTTTGGTGGCCAAATGGAAAACAGTACCGTAAATTCAATATTAGCCACATTTTAATTATATTTTTCCACCAAACCTGTAATGATTCCACTGGCAGCATCAGAAGAAATAAAATTACAAAGTTAACTGTGTATAGTATCACCTCACTGCCAGAAAAGCATCAGTTGCCCTGAAGTTTATCTGGCCTGTAGTCAGCTTCCTTCTTTACCACCCCATTGAGACAGAACAATTGCTGACCTGTACTCAGTAGTTCTGCTATTTTTATATTTATTCCATCCTCCAAGATTGCCTCCTTAAACAAATACAGAAACTATGTAATCCTCCTACATTCATGTTTTCATGATCTTTATAATCTTTAACTCAAACAAATCTCTTCACATTGTGGAACCTCCCTGAATCCTGTAAAATCCTGTGCTTCACAGGGACCCTCAGTGGTAGGTACTTTGTACTTGAACCCACAAGGACATCAATTGTCCCATGTAAAGTAATCATGATTAGACTTCTAACCTTCTGTAGTGCTTTCATGATTTCTGAACACCTTGGATGGTCAGCATCAATGCAGATCACAGACAGTGCAGATTTACAATGTCTTGCCAGATCAAGGCAAATCAGCTGCAGACTTGTCAACAAGTCAATGAAGTCAAAGTTCATTGAAAATTCTCAATCGTGGAGTGTCCTCAAGTGTCAATGCGCACCTTTTGTAGGTTTTCAAGTCAAGATGTAAGTCTTTCTTCTTTTTGTACTTTTTTGTGGGGGAGGGGTTAATCAATTGACCTGTTGATGAAATTTCCCTACAAAGATTTTCACTGTAGAAAGACCTAAACTAAGTTACAAGTTATCCAGAAACTAAGAAAAAGAAGTGATCACTCTCCATTTTGAAAGGTGCTTTCTCTACTCCCTTACAAAATGGGCCCATTCTGGGGTCAGAGTTCATGCATGTTTCAGGAATACTCAAGTACACAGTCCTATTCAGATGTAGGACTCTTCATATTTACAACCCCCGAGAGTCTTGAAGCAGGGATACCAAGTTTAAGGCAAATGCTTGATTTCAGGCTTTTTCATGTTAAATGTCAGGCTAATTTAGGGCCTTGACAAGGTATCTTTGGCTTACATGTGTATTTTTCAAGCTGTAGACAAGAACCTGACTGGTATTAGTCTACAAAAGCCCTGGTTTTAATAATGGAATTAATGTAAGGCACACCAGTCATGATTCATCTTGGTTGGGACCAGCGAATTCCGACCTGCATGTTTTAATACTAGCCCTTGTCTTGTACAGATTCATCCCAAAAACATCCTTATTGAACATTAGTCCCTCGCATTAACCTCGTAAATCTTGAGTCTTGGCCAATCTGGTGAAGCCTCAGTGAAAACCAAGGTATTCTAGTCCTGAGGTAGTTAGCAGTTTTTCTTTCTGAGGCCATTGTTACCTAACTGGAGAAGAGGGAAATTGTTCTTAGATTGTTCTGCTTGCTGAGAGGCCCTTCATCCCAGCCACATGTCCAGCAGGCTTCAATACATCCCTGGGCAAGTTTTGTATTTTGCTGGTCAAACAGGCATCTGACCCGCGGTTGTTTATAATCAATGTTAATGCACACAAAATGAGTTTCTCACCTATGAATGTAATTTTAGGTACCCTGTTAGACAGGTCATACACCAAAAAAATGTAAAAATTGATTTTTTGGTAGTGCCCCAAGCATGCCTCATGTGTTTAGCGTATTTTTGTTTTCTTTTATTGCCGTTCTTGAAGTTGTGACTTGTTGTTTTTTTCAGTGCAGTACTTCTATGATTAAGCAAATTTCCTTGTTAATGTACATGTACACTAGTTAGGAATGTTACAGGTAATTTAAAGTAGTTAGAGTGTAAAAGTTGCAGGAAATGTTCTATTGATTTTGGATTTTTGCCCTGCCCAACGCGTATTTTAACACTGTATACTCAGTTTTTCCCCAAAGGCTTGTGAAAAAACACATCTGACTCGGACCAGCCAGCCGATGCCGGCAAGCTTGGTGGTAGAGTGGTTAAGACGTCTGCAGTAGTAAGCAGGAAGCCCGTGGGTTTGAGACTTCAAGTCTTACCGGAGTACGCTTGTGGTTTTTTCACAAGCCTTCGGGGCAAACACTGATTATAAGGTGTTATAATACACGTCCGGCAGAAAAAAATCCAAATTACTCAACATCTCCCGGCACAAATCCATCCTTTTTTAAATTGCGGATGTGCAGTGTGTTTGTGAGAAGCTTTAACCAAAAGTGCAGGCTCTGCACAAGTGAAACATTGGCAGTTTGATTTTGAGTAAATGCCAATTGCTGGATGCAGTGTGGAGAAAGCTCATGTTGTGATTAAAAGAAAGTCAGATAACATAATGCAGATGTAGTGTGAACAGAGACAGACTGAGTTAGTGCTAGAGAGAAATACACACTCCAAAAGTAACTGTGACTTGTTAAAAGTATATAATTACAAGGTGTTGTGATCTTCCCATTCCTCCTCTGAAGTAGTGTACATGAGCTTCTTGAAAAAAAGCTCTAAAACCCACGCAAACAAAGAATTGTGGGATAGAATTCAAGATTTGGAAACAAAGCCAGTGTGATGGTGAGGTTGTCATCTCTTGCACAAAGAGTGTTTCATATTCACTGCAAAAATACTACATTAGTGAGGTTTGGATCACACACAAGAAAGCTTGAATTGGCCTTTTGTTAAATGAGGGATTTGTGTGTGATCAAGTTAAGAGAGGGTGCTTCTTACAGAACAGCAATGGTCTTTAAAGGACATACATTGTACCACATGTGTGTATACAGGTTCAAACAGCATACATGTACAATCTTTTTCACTAGAGGGCCTTTTCCTTGGGCATCATGGGGTATACCTAGCTGAAATGATAGCCCTGTCAGGTTTTCACTCCTCTGTCAGTGAGGGGGTACTTATGCCTGGAACAGATAGACATTGATTTTAAACCTGGTGAAGCTTTCCTCCTTAGCCAAAAACTGCAAGGATTTGGAAAACATTTTCCATAAGGTGGGCATTGACCTGTTGCGAACGTTGGAAGTGTTTGTGTAAATGGAATAATGCAACACCATTTCTAAATATTGTTCCTCAGTGGGAGCAATAGTCTTTTACATTACAGATCAAGTCACTCTCACTCTGCTGAAAAATCAAATTTCTCCAAACGCCAGAAATCAATGAACGTATTCAGGCTGAAAGCAGAGTATGGTACATATCAGGTGTCCAACACTATGCAGATACAATTGAAAACCCATTCAGGTCGTGCAGTGCAATATCACATGCAGATCGGGAAGGAGGGGAGGGGGTTCTGACACATGCATACACACAAACAATTGTAGTAATAATAAATAAAGATGACATCCCGTAAAGGTTATTATTTGTACCGGTACACCTGTTACAATGTAATGCATTATCTGTGTGTCTGCCTGTCCGCAACAATCAGACATAAGAAAACTCTGATATCAGCCTGAATCCCCCTCCCTGCCTCCCTCCCCCCCTGGAAAAGTTCCTGGATCTGCCCCAGAATATACTGAGCATTGATTAGTGTGATAAACCCCTTAGTAAATGCCAGTGTACTGTGTACCTTCACATTATTCTGCGGTAACCTTACATACCTAGTGTGGACTTGTGAACAAAAGATGTCCATACGATGCAAGAAAGGAAGACATTCTGTGGACTTACACAGGTCCATAAGACTTTTCCCGTCTATTAAAAAGAATTTTAGAGGCATTTTGGGGTAATGGTCATCTGTCGTAAAATGAAGAGGAAAAGTCACAAAAAGCCAGCTGAAAATTGTGTTCCCAGTTCAAGAAAAACAAGTATTTTCACCGAGTTTTTTTAACTGCACAAAATGAAAGGAATGTCCACACGAGGTATGCAAAGTGTGCATGTCGATTCATTATCCTTTATTTATTTTATGCTAATTAGAGTTTGGCAAACTGTCTCAGATAGTTAGGAAAAGTCTCAGTCTTGATGTCAGACTTAATAGTTTGACATAGACCTGCAGGTCTTGGTTTCAGACTTTAAAATGTTGATTATAACAATGGTCACTAGTTTTTGCAGTTTTTGAGGACTTCCCTCTCCAGGCCAATGTCTGTGATATCAATAATATCAGCCAGTGGAATGGAATGTCTACTTTCCAAACTTTCAGTGTATAAAGTTTCCTTGTACTGGTAAGCAGAAATACTGATCTGGGTCACACCTAAACTGGACAGCCTGTCGACTGTAGTGTATTCATTTTAACAGTCTGGCTTTTCTTGCCCATCGTCTCATTGCCAATGCACGTTAGGCACAAGTTTTTGAATAATTTGTTTTCTCTTCTCCAGGAAGCAGTTTTCTGTGCAGTGTCCTGGTGGCACCAGTCAAGAACGAAAATGAGGAGGTGATTATGGTGATCATGAACTTTGAGGATATCAGCGGCGTCAGTAAGATTCCTTCAGCATCCTCATCAGTACCCACTGAAGCATCTTCCTGCACATTATCATCATCCCTGTCTGTGAATACACCTATGAACAGGTGGAGAAGAGCAAGAAGTAAGTACCTCTTAATGGATTGTTGACATGGGTTTGTGCAATTAAGATATACATATACATGTACATCTACACTGTGTTTAAAGCTTTCAATGAACCACAGGTAAACCACTTCAAAGCAAGGACAAAAAACCATGGCTGGAGCTTACCTGAAAACTATGACTTCCAGAGCCCTGTAGTGTTGGCACTTTTCCAAGTTTTTTTTTCTTTCCCAGCTTGCTGCATAAGCAAGATTCTCATTTGGTCATGTTTGTAGATCACAGGTACAAATACAGTTTTCTAGGGTGCACTGAACCAATTCAAGCTCCATTGAAAATAGTGTAATATCAACCAAGTTTGGAACCCCATGGCAGGCAACTGAAGTCCCTGAGGCCTCTCAAACAAAAATCAATGTGTGGTTTGGTCCTTCAGATTTCATTTGATTTTCAATTTATAATAGGTTAACCAATGAATTCTTTAATTATCTGCCAAAAACAAACCCACCCCCAAAAAGTGAATGCTCCCAAGTCTTCTCAGCAGCCATTTTTCAAATGACATCCTTCACCTTCCTTTGGCTCTTCTGAAAAATTTTCAAGCACATTTTTGTGTGCATTGCCCCCAGATGGGTGCCCCTGAATCTACAGAGATGATCCTAGGCCACACTGACACAATTCCACCATATCTTGGCCCAAACAGACCCCTCTTTTCAAAAGAATCTGTAGGGGTACTTCTTGTGCTCCTCGGCCTGGCAGAGAATTTTCCTTGAATTGGGACACTGCACCCTCTAAAGCTTCTGGGATCAGCTCCTGGTTCACATTCTCATTGTGTGTGTACCAGTTCTTCAGCAACCCAGTCTGGAGAAATGAGTTGGCAGACAAGCAGTGTGGCATTTCTGTTAACAATGTCTCTGTAGTTAAATCCATCTCAGCAATCCAGGTTGGAAAGCTGAGTCAATCTACATCCTTACAGTATGGAGGCTTGACTTCCTCCTCAGTTGTGTATTTTGTGCACAATGAAAATGTAATTTAAAATTCTAACGAAAGTGTCATCACCTGGCTGGCCATTCTATGCAAAGTTTATTATCATTTTATTTACACAGTTACAGGTAGAAACGATTACCCTATATTTGCACTCTGAATTTTTGAGGGCATTCTTCGTTCATAAGTAATGCCACTTTTCTCATGTCACATTTTTTCGTGCAAAGGGCATTGCACATACATGTAATTGCCTTTTCCTTCGTATGTGTAGTGTGATCCTCATATCTGTCAGAGTAAATTAACAGATTTGAAATTGTTTTTAGAAACATAACGTATTATAAATCTATTTTCAAAAATGTAGATTTTTCCTAGATAGCTGTAATATACCTGATAACAAACTTATTAATTGAAGCGTACTGTGGCTGCTGTCAATTTGCATAAACATTTATTAATTTATTTCAGTCAGAAACTACTTTCCATTTTCAATGTAGTTGTTTCACAGATCATATATAAATCACTAGGTCTGACAAGTTTTCCTTCAAATGGAACCTTTTTCAGTTGTGGTGTAAATGATCATACTTGCATATCTCAGTTATTATTGTAAAATTTTTATCTGTCTTACATATGATTATTAAGCCTCCCATGGCCAATTTTGATACATTTTGCATGGATTTGCGTACATGTTTAACTGATCTACACATATATTGAGCCAATACAGTTTCGGAATGTAGTCAGCAATCCTGTATTTCTTGATACCAGTATAAAGATATTCTGAAGTGATAGAGGGCGCTATACTCACACTTGTACGTGGCAGCTGGAAATCCAGGGGGTGTCTTGCGATCATGAACACTGCTGCTGAAAAATAGAAGTACATGTACAAGTGTTGACCACAAGAGGGCAGTCTAAAAGACTACCAACATTTGTTACCCGCTCTATGAAAATGAGTCAGAAGTCACCAGAGCAACATTTGAGTTTTGTTTATATTAGAAAGAGCTAACAGCTCTTTGTTTTGAGTCAATAGTCACATTGGTCTTCTAATGAAAACCAGACAGTACATGGGTAACCAATGCAGAGGGTTCCTTCTGATTTGCATCATTCATGATTCTTTCTACATGTAACTCCAAAGTGGTCCCAGCAACAATGTCTCATTTTCACGTAGTGGGTTACATTTGGGTTTAGCAAGTCAGAGATCAAATATATTCTGGTAGAAAGTACTTTTCTTTTTCTTTTTTTTTTGACATTTTTATTTAATTTTGTTCATACCATGGTTACAGAGTAGAAGATGAATTAAGTTTTACAACAGTTTGCCTTAGAATGTACAATGTCGAGCAGAAAGATAAAGCACACGTTAAAGAACAACATTTAGGTAAAGGGTGAAGCATAAATTTGCTTTTATACCCTAACCTATTGACAGACATACATGTACATATTATAACTTGAAAGTGATTGTTGCAATAACAGTCATATTTACAACAACATACGTGTAAGTCCTTGAAGATCTACATGTAAGTTACATAATTTCAGGACTGAAGGAACTTGAATATTGTTTTTTAATACAGACACACTGATTTGATGCCCGTTTTTAAGTAACAAGCATACATTCCAGTTTTTATATCTGTATATGTCTTTTATTCCAGCTGCACAGTGTTTTGGTTTTTGCACAACATACAGGAATTCATTTATAATGTCTCACATGTTTAAAATGGATTATCAAAGACTTCTTGAAATTGGGTAAAGTTCTAGGTCTTGTTTCCCCCAAAAGTAGCAATGATAAACATATCATTCATTTGGAAGTACATGTCTACTGGTTTGATGAGTTTCTGATTCCATTGCTTAGAATGGAAAGTTGTTTCTACATGTAGCAACAAGAGGTTACCAGGCAATATTTTATGTCCAGTTACTTGTGACTGGTTCCCAGCTAATTCTTTTTCAACAAGAACATTTGGTTTGTATTTCTGTGAAATATGGCCGAAGTCATCATACTCTTACTTTGTTCCTGTGCGCTCTTGGCAGTCAGTTCATTTTGTACACATGTATATGTCTTGCTGGCTAAAGCCTCAGACACTTGAGTTTTAAGAAATCTAATTGTTTTCTGCACAGATAACCACCGAACATTTCGTCTTCGCCTACCGTCCCTGTACAAACAACACAAGATGCAAATGGCAGATGAGGCATTGAATGGGGATGGGGTGGACCCTGAGAACTCTACATGCCCTTCAGAGGCAGAAGGGTCCATGCCTCTGATAGACCTCAGCAGCAAGGACGTCAGCCAGCATGGTGTAGCTCCATCTCCTACCCAGTCCACACGATCTGTACAGTCAGACTCCTTCCATGCTACCACCGAAGCCACCACCAGCTCAGCTGACTCGGGGATACGGCGGGATATGGCTCGACTGCACCAATCCCTGTGCTCTGTTGGGGACCGGTTATTGGAAGGAACCAGCCAGCTCCAAGTAGATGAGTGCCAGGGAATCGCTGAGATTCGGAACCCTGCCATACGATCCCCTTCCAACACATCTTTCTCCAATCAGAGTGGCTGGAGTGTACGGCGTGTTTCATCCCTAGAAGGATTGGAAAGTCAGCGAGAGAAACAAAAGCAGCTTCAAACAGAATCACGTCTGTATTACTCCTGTTTCATATTTCAAAACTATTGAAAAACAGCAGTGAGACTCGGATGTAATTGTAACTTATTAGTAATACATTTACATGTACTGATGTGCACATCATCATACAATGTGCCAGAACACAAGTTACAGACATCAGAAACTTGTCACAGTGTTCTAAAGCATGTTTCCCTTGTTTCGTACATCTGAGGGGTACATAGAAACATGAGGTCAAAAATAGAAGCCACTGGATATTTGCATTACCCCTAACGAGGGATAAAAAGTCATGTCCCACATCACAGCAGTGAAGCCTGAAGAAACCTGTGGAGAGGAAACAATGAGAAGAAGTTACAGTTTTTAGAGGTGGAAGGAAAACATCAGAAGAATATTCTGGGTAAAACCCACAAAATCAGGCAGGGGCTGGAAACCCAATCCATATGTGGACCGAGCCGGGAATCCAACCCGGGACCACAGAGGTGGAATGCGAGGAAAGAACCAGTATGCCAACCTGACCCCATCTCCAATATCTCCACCAATATCTCTGCAATACATGTTTATAAGAACACAATTCCTTTACGTGTTTTCCCAGTTATGTGCAAGTGTTCCAAGATTTATGAAAATCAAACCTTCCATTTTCACAAATTGTTACACCCCATGTGGAGAATGTTAAAAAAAACTTTTAACCTACCGGTATTCTGTTCTCCGTGCACAGGGAACAGTAGTTGAAATGGTATGTTACCTCATACAGATGTGAGGATAACGTGAAAAAAATTTGTTCAACAGCACTTAAACTTTTTAGATCTTCTCAGCTTAAAGGTGTTTAAATGTGTACCAAATTTCAGAGAACTTTTCCCCAGACAGATGAGATAGGGATGAGAAGCATTTAACAAGTGAATTGGATACCAATTTTTGATCATGTTTGCCCTTAGCTTGAGCATAAATGCTGCGAGTGTGCATTACACGTATTTCATTGTTTGCCCAATTTTTATTTATGCCTAAATGTCAAATTTTCCGTACTTGTAAAGCACAGAAGTATTGCAATAACATCAAGGAAATCATAATTAGCTGTTGGGCCATCAAAGATGGATTTATATCAACAGCAACGTCAAATCAAAGAGGAGATTCTCCTGTGTATCTAGTTCTAACCATCACACGTCTTACGTTTTGAATTTTATTTGGTGTGCAGTTGGTCCTAGTTCCAGAAGAGGTATGCAGTTTGCCGTGTCAGATTCAGACTTGAGCAGATACAAAGCTGAACGCCTACTGAATGGCAGCAACAAGTTGAATGGCAGCCGCCTATATGACAAAGATTCCTCCCCTACAGCCAGCACAGCCACACAAAACATGTACACTCCAGTTACCTCCAAGGTTTCTCAAGTAAGTCAAGTTTGTTTGTCCTTGTGTAACTTGAATGGAAGATATAGTGGACATGACTCTCTAGTCCATGAGCTAATTGGCAAAACTTTAATTGGCAAATTTAATCTCTGCATTACCTCTTGACCCAGTCGCACCTCAAGTAACCTGAGAAAGTTAAGTAAAACTTCATCCTTAGAACCTCTGCAGTCTCCCCACAATGGACAGAGCTTACTGTCCGAAATGTTGAGTACCCTCTGGTTCTTTTCAGAACCACACATATTCACAAAAGAGATATTGTTGCATGGTGCTACCGCAAACCTTTTACTTAACTTGCTACCTTCACAATAAAATGCTTCGAAGTTAACCCGAGAAGAAAAAATGAATGGTCAAGGCCTTTAGAATGCCTGTGTACCTGCTGGCAATGCCAACATTTTGTCACCATTTTCATGAAGAGAATGAAAATTAAATTTTGAGAAAATCACATGTTCAGTTGGTCTCTTTACCCAATGCTTATTTGCCCAGTATTTAGCTTTCCTTTGACTAATAACCAATGTTACTTCATGAAAGAGGGGATCATAAGGGAAATAAACCTACAAAATAATATTGTTTGAAACAATTGAAATTGTTTATTTTGTGAACAGTCACTTTTATCTGTTTGTGAAAACACCAAAACTTTCTGTGACCTTTGTCTTTTTGTGAAAATGTGGGGCACAGTACATGCTTTTGCCATTGTGCATGCCAGGTGTCAAATTGTTACATTGTACACATTTCCAGAGTCAACTATTTCTCTTCGTGAAACGGCAAACTAAGTTTGCCCATGGATATGCCTTTTGTTTACTAATACTTTAGCTATGGATGACAACTATGGCTCTTTGTGAAAATGAAAAATGTGGTTTTTTTTAACTTTGTCCCAAGGAGGCCATCTGGATTTGGCCGATTTTTGAAGATTGGTCAAAAATGATTACACCCAGCTGTAGGCATCGTGTAGACTAATTGATTTTGCCACCCCAGGCACCCCCCCAACAAAAAAAGGAAGAATTTGAAAAAAAAGTTATGGCTTTGGGCCACTTCGTCTCTTTGTGAAATTGGTTGATGATTTCATACCTTGCAATCAGCTGAGTAAAAATCAAATTTGACCTTTGTTTGGAGATCAGCAACTCACCAATCTTGAGTACTTTGAAACCTTCAAAATCTTCCCCGATGCTCAAGTCTATGAGCTGGAGTGTCATCATTTGGTTATTGCATCAGTGCACTTAACGTCACAATACATGTGTATATTGAAATACCATGGCTTCCAAGCTGCCTGACAGAAAGGAATATGGCAGAAAGTACCTGTACACGTGTATGTATGTACGGCTAGGTCTATTGTATGTGCTTCTCCACATACTTTCAATGGAGTGAAGACCTAAACCTAGCTCCAGACAACAGATTTGGATGCAGCCTTAGACAAGCTGTATGAAATATGAAAGGCACATCCCTGCATAATCACTCAAACCATCAGTACATGTAGTATTGATGCAAAAGATCTTTGCTTACCCTTTAAGGAGTGCAGATTTTTGCGATAATAATGGTCAAGACTAAAATCTTTAGAATAGGTGGATTCACAATACATTGGACTGGCCCTCAGTCAAGTATTTTTGCATGAAGGGCACTTGTCAACTCAACAGTTAAGTCTTGCATCAATTGTCATGCAGTTTTAAGCATCGGTTCTTCATTGCTTCTGTACATGTCCTTGCTCTATGATGAAAACATAGAGCAAGGACACATGCTGTTTCACTTCAAAAAACAAATTGCACTAGGTAATGAATTAATGTTGCTTTAAGTTGTGGGTGGAAGGAGCTGGTAATGGTCAAGTTGAGATCTTTTTTTTTTTTTCACAATTGCATATTGTATTACAGTTGCAGATTCGTGCCAATTGATACAGAGGTTGTGTCAACCTTTAAATCTTCCCGCTAGGATCTAGTTACAGTCAAAGTCCTGCAATACTTTGCTGCTCTGATAATGTGGCAGCTCATCTTAACACCTGCTTTCCTTTGGTGCTTGCAACTGTTCTCAAAGACCTCTTAAATGGGCCCATGCAGCTTTGTATTGACTATATCTGCAGCTGATAAAATTTGTTTTGGTTAGTATCAGATATGCATCAATCTGGAAAATGTATCTTTTAAGGTGCACCAGTTTATTCTGAACAGTTGGGAAATTTACAAGAAATCTTGCTTCATCTTGGGAATTATTTTCGTCTGAGGCAAATTAAAAAGTGTCTTTATTTATGATTACCAACTCTTGACATCCAAGCAAATCATGTTAATTATAAATGTACCTTTACTGGTCGAAAATTTTTGAAGATGGCTTTGAATAATCTACTTTACTGTCAAATCCTTAAGTATTTAAATATCATGTAGGTATGTACATGTAAGTACATTAATTGTATGCATTAGACAAAAGTCAAACATGCAGTATTTAATTATTATTAAAGATTAACAAAGAAATTAACATGAGAGGGATTTCTTTGTTTATATTCAGAATGATCATGCAAGACATTTGTCAGTTCCTTAACTTTTCTATGACAGGTTTTACTTCTCATACAACCTTGTTAAATTCAGAAAAAAAAGATTTTTCCACCATGCTTTTGTGACAAGTAAATGGTGCGGCATGAAAAGCAGATCAGCGAGAACCCCAAGAAAAATAAGTGATTGACACCTTTCCTTGGAATATAAAGTGCATCTCAAAAGCTGACTTTGATGCAGACACCAAGAGTGACCAAGGTTTTCTCTGTGAAATTAGATAAGAGTGATCTACCGCATTACTCCTGACAGGGAGACAGATGAGCTGCAGTGTTTCCACAGCCCTACCAGGCATGAAGCCTGCTGGAAGGTGTCAAGGTGGTTAATATTTCAGGATGATTACGGTGACAATATACAGCTGAGGCTCGCAGTCAGATGGCTGCTCCTAGTCAGTAGAGGGAGCCAACATACAGCTGCACCACATCCTGTGTTCATGTGTGCGTCTAAAGTGCTAGGATGTACTCACTGAGGTGATATTACAGTCTTTGTGAACATACCAAAGGCACTGTGACATCACACTTTCCCATTGATAAGTTGCCTACATTAAATGCAAACTGTAGGACAGATTCATAGACTCACGATTTTGATAATATCCACCTTGAGTTGAAGTGCACCCTCTCTGACAAAGAAGAGACAGTTTGGCAGGAATTTTTCAACCAGGCTGGTGCATACACCTGGCACACTCACAAAGACGTACATTCAAAGAGAAATTGGTAGCATGTGCTCAATGTGTCCTGCAAAAAGAGTGTATGAACTGGGGCATGCGCACAGTGAGTTCCCAGGAAAGGACTGTCATGACCATGTAAAAACACACCATCAAGTGTTTATTTAGATATGGGGGTATATGTATATGTACTAGTACTATCCTTTTCCTTATTTGTTCTTCACTGTTTATGTGGTTTAATACTTAAAAACAGAAATTTACCTACAAGAAATACAAAAAAAATCTTTGCTGATCAAATACAAAAAAGACCTATGTACTGGTTACTTATGTAAATGCAAATTCATCATAAAACCTAAGTTCTTATGCAAAATTATGAAGTTTGTTTGACACGTAGATGTTGACTTGTTTTCTAATTCATTGCAAAAAAAGGTTCCTTGGTAAGACATGATGCCTCACTGTGGTATGGATCCTAAGTAGCCTTTTATAATTCCTCTGATATAATTGAATAAATCAGACTGCAATAGCTGCTCATTTCAGCTTATCAGAAGGCATCATCAGTGCTCTAACCAAATGTCGCTGTAGAACTTACATCAAGTTCAAATATGGAGCAACTTCTGGTAGGGAAAGGTTAGCAGAACATAATAAGAATCATTTTCAAAGAAACTTACATGTACTTTGCAACATTCTAATTACAGTGCTCTTTTATTCAAGACATTAATATGGTTTTTTACATTAAAAAGAAAAATCATTCCAGATAATTTGTGTACATGTATGTGAAGGAAAATTCAATTGCTAATCTTTTTTATGAAGATGTATGTTGAATTTGACTTGAAGGATACACCTCAGAAATTCCAATTGTGACAACAGTGCTAAATTTGCCTTGATCTGAAAAATTTTCTTTCTTTCTGTACAATTTGTATTTCTCCCCTTAAAGGTGTAAAGCATGTGAGCTAACTGCATCCATGGCAACAAAAAATAAAGACAGTTAAGTGCATTTGTTATTGCAGTTACACGTACCCTCAAACACCATGACATGAAATTGTTTATTGCATGTAAGAAATTCACAACCAACACAGATTTTATGTTAAATATGTGGGGGGGTTTCTGCAAATCTCATAGAAAGATACACATGTATGTAGACAGGCTCGTGGAATTAGAAGTTGGAATCTAGGCAAAGACTTCTGAAAGTTTTATGTTATCTCCTTTGTCTTTCCTTTTTTTTTGTAGCTGTTTATGACTTTAACCACCCCTGATACAGGCACCTGTGTGAGATTCATGTACAATTAGAATCTACAGTTCTGATTTTTCCCGTTGTATGAACGTCAAATTTGTCAATTATTCACACCTCAGGTTTGAGCTCGTCGACCATATTGAATTTTGTGGAATTAGGGCGTGCATGACGTCAACCTTGCTGTAAATCTTGGACCCGCAGCTACTTGGCCTTAATTGAATGTCTCCCGTCCCCCTAACATCACCGGCGCCCAAACGTCATCAGATTCACCCACCTTAATAGGAGTTTGGTTACCAGTGAATGTTGGATCAGATTCCAGTTTTTGATTTGTAATACTGAGAAAAAGAACCCTAAGTTCTGAAAATCCTCACCTTGTCCATGCAGATACTCTGTTTACTGGGATATATTCAAGGAAGAGGTAGTCCGAAGCAGCACAGGATTCTTAAATGTAGAAATTATGACTCAAGAAAACTCCCCCAGGAATTGCATTGCTTTATATTTAAATATAAAAGTTGAGATTTTGTAGTCTCTGTTGCTTTGTATGATGGTACTAACACAAAGACAA